TTCTTCTTCTTCTTCTTCTTCTTCTTCTTCTTCTTCTTCTTCTTCTTCTTCTTAGCTTTTTCAGTACAGTAGTTGGACTTTGCTTCTCGGACTTTTTTCTTAGAAAGCAGTCTTGACTCTTGCCATTCTACCTATCTGGGTTGTTATGGTTTCAAGACAGGTTTCTTTCCTATTCCCACTTTCTGTAAGGTCACCTCCCCCTACCCCTCTCTCCCTAATCCTTTCCTCTCTTGCTTTTAGATTATGTATTTCAAGGGAATTTCGGTGTTTTAGTTTAGTATTAGCTCGTTTTAATAAGAGTTTTACGGCATTTGCAACACTGTAAGATCCGAAAGTGCCGCAGATTAGAGTTGTTACAAGAGAGTAAAAAAAAAACACAAAAAGAAGGAGGATAGATGTTTGAAAAGAAAGAAGGAGCAAACCACACAAGAGCACCCTCCAATCACCCACAGTGACCGCGTATGATGACTGTCACGGTAATATTTCTGTTACAAAGCAATGTTGTCAAAGAACGACTAGTTCCTGTACCAACATGTCCACTTTGAGTTACAGGATTGTGTACGGGCAGATCATCACTCACAAAACACTATGATTAAACACATTAAGGAAGGCTTAAATAAGGCTTTCAGTAAGAGTTATATGGCACTTGCAACACAATAAGGTCATAAAAGTGCGGAAGAACAGATTTGTTACAAGAGTAACATACACAAAAAAGAAGGAGGCGAGATACGGATGTTGATGTTTGATAGGAAAGAAGGAACAAACCACACCAGAACACCCGCCAATCAACCACCTTAAACGTCCTTGACGGAGGAAATTAGATTCGAATCTAAAGGAGAATGAGTAGAGCTGGACAGAGGTGTGGGCTAATGCAAAGGACAGAGGTGCACAGAGGGCTCTTGTTGGTGGCCTATACTGTTGTTTTTTTTATAAGTTTTAGTAGAAGTTTTACGGCGCTCGCAACTGCATAAGGTCATATGAGCGCTAAAAGATTAGAGGCGTTACAAGAGAGTAAGAAACATAAAAAAGAAGGGGAGATAAGGACGATAGATGTTTGATAGGAAAGAAAGAGCGAACCACCCTCCGCTTATATTCTGGCCTATACTTTGACACTGGGTGATCAAGGCTGATGATGATTAGGTCATAGATTCCAAAAGAAACGAGATTAAAAGACATAAATAGCAAAGAAAAAAAAAAGATATAAATTGAGAAGCAAAAGAAGGAAAAAAAAAACCCAGAAAAAAAATCCTAAACCATCATCCCTTTCCTAAGACCAAATAAAAAATTACTGCTTGCTATTCACAATGAGAAGCAGTGTTACATATTTTCCCTGGAACAGTGACAATATAGCTGTTATGTCCTACGCACATGCACATCTATAAAAGAGCAAGTCTTCATCACAGTTCAGTAATGTACAGATGTTTTATTCTGACCGTCTGAAACACTAATGTACAGAGAAGTGTTACAAAATAAGAATTTTCAAAACTGGAATGTGTTAGGTACATTTTCTTAAAGTTTTTATTATTCTTTTAAATAAGAATATTTTATATGAATTTTTTTGAAAGAGAAATAGTAAAGCGGAGTTAAGATAAATTTCTCCAGAAAGTCAAGGCCAGAAAGCAGATAAAGCAGTTATTCAAGTCAGTGTTGAATTGGGATGATGAAGATGACACAGAGATATGCAATACCATCAACACTTTGTTATTGTCAACTAGACACCAATCACAGACATCAGAGACAAATTACCTTCTTACTTGAGAAGACTGTCCGTTTTGAGCAAAAACAAAAGCAAACATAATTTACAGTCTGGTTTAATAAAGCCAAACACATATCACCAAAAACTTAAAACCCTACACTACTTGCCTACATAAAATACAAAAATAAGAACCCATTACTTCTCGTATGAAGTATGTTTTCACCATTACGTTGAGATCCCTTTGGTATGTAAGTGCAAAGTTATGCATATATAAATAAATATAATCAACAAAAGTACAAAACACTCATTCGCTCACCTAGGGATCAAACATCCAAAACTGCGACATACAAAAACCCAACATTTGATGATGAATGATGATGATGAAGATAATAGCATTAACAGCAAGTAACTGGAATGTCACCATTCAAACAACAGTATGAGTCAACAGTATAAGTTATATTACAAAATCACAGTAAATTCCCAAAAATACAGTTTGTCATTTTCATCAAACTTCTTTTGATTTTTATCTCTGTGGTGATGTCAATTAAAATAAAGTTCTCTCTGGTTACATAAGGCCCATAGAGCTTATCTTGGTCCCCACAGCATGAGTCAGAACTTGTTGGCTGAGAGCTAGAGGTGACTGTGTTCAAATTCTTTGTTTGGACATAAAATAGATATTTATGAAAAGAAAATAGGAAACATTGGGGCAAAGACACGTCATGAATTGTGGTTTTGGCCAGATTGCTGGATAGATTGGTTTGATATTTTCACAGAGTCATTTCTGGCTCTCAGCCATGGACATAATGTATGCTCTCTCCAGCAAAGAATAAATGTCGGTCACAGCTTTACTTTATCTCTGAAACTATTTAAACACCAAACCAACAAAAAAGCTTATCTTTCCAGAAAAGATATTGTTCTATCATTATTCATTAGGCTTTCCTATTCATTAAGTCTAAGTAAATGGAAAGCTATTCCTCCTTGGTATGAAGCCAATTTTTTATTCCAACTCTTCAGCTTGACAATCTTCATTATAACTAAGACAAACCCTTAACCGAGGAAAAATTAATGATCCAGGCAATAAACATAGTTTGGATTATAAGTTAACTCTTTATCTCCGCCAAGCCGCTCCTAGCGGCTCGCGGTGGGAACCACCGTGCTGGTGAGCTGTTAACAGCGGCTCAGGCATATTTCTTTACGACGACTTTGATATCAAATTACTTTTCGGCAATTGACAAAAACAGGTCTCTTTTATCGGGACTTCATTCATTAAATAAAGAACTATCAAAATAGGTTGACTTGTTTTGATTTAATTACCAATTTAGGGCCGATTTTGTCATTTTTAGATTTAGTACCAAAAACAGACCCTCGCATAGTGGGTATACCCCCCTTGGAGATAAAGAGTTAAGATGGATAAGCTGGTACACGGTAAATTTTTACGATGACTGCAAACAACTGAACAACATCAAGAGTCTGCTGAAGTGACGTGTCGTATACTAAGACTTCACATCGAGAACAGTACAATTCCTAGCATGAAAAAAGCATGCAAAAATATGTCTATACGTCATCATTTGGGAGGCAGCGTGGTGAAATCAGGTGCTCGTCAAAATAATGAAAGTCAAGAAACAGGCATTTTTCTGCAGGTCTGGGAATTTTTATCGCATTTTTCTATTTTGACTCGACACCTTTCATGCCCTTTTAAGAACACATTTCACAATGGATTTTATTGAAAAGCGTTGATTAAAGGAATAAAAGATGTACATTTTCAGCTTCTACTGATTCTCAAGCTAAGGAAATAACTCAACTTTGGAAGCCATTTTACCTCGCTAAATTTACCTCTGAAACCAGGCGAACCCCATCTCCTTCAATTGCAAATACCTTGAACTGTACCCAAGACAAATTGGTATTTATTTTCATCAAAAGCAAGACAAATGGACAGGCTTTAAGATTATACCAATAACTCCATATGCCCCCCAAATTGAGGAGTGCTTGATTCCACCGCGTCATGACATATTTGTACATTTCAATCAGCATGTGTACAAATTCTGGATATACATGCATACAGGCCTTCAAAATATCAACAGACCCCAAAAGTCCTCATTCAAAACAAATCTTACAAAAGACACACAGGCCCTCACAAACTTACACCCCCAGGTGAACACACAAACAGTCACACAAAGTAAGTCATAAAGCTGCAAATGCCTTTACAAATGCACCAGCACAAGCAGACATGCATAAGAACCTCCGCCCACAAACAACTATAATCACATACATACTCACTTAAACACACACATACACACTCATTTAAACACACTTACATACACACTCACTTAAACACACACTCACACATTCACCAACACATCTCCACAAACTCTGTAACCTAACAACCCCCCCTCTAAACTCCTTCAAACAATCGGAACTTTCTTGAACCTTGTCCCCTTCTGAGACACAGTGACATTGCGTTTGATGAACATCCCGCCCTCATCATAACTCTTCTTCTTCGGCTTCTTCTTCTGCTTCCTTATTGCGTAGTCCTGAGGCTCATCCGACGGCTGAGGGGAAGAAATTGGAACATAATAATTAGCAATAGCCGGGCTGAAGTGTGTTTGCATCTGTTTGATTTCTCATCAAGGAATCAAAAATCCTGTGTTGACACAGCAAAAAAAGAAATGTTAGCTCGTCCGAAGGGAGAAAAATGAGAGGATGAGAGAGCAATTGAGGACATGAGAGATGAAACCTGTCAGCATCATGCTGATACGCACACAGAAAAACAAATCAAAGGACACAGAAAAACAAAACGACGCTCACAGAAAAGCAAAAACAAGTCTGACACAAAAGAAAAAAAATTATACCAAATAAAAATATTCCTTTCCATACACCCATCCCTTTTTCCCTTTTGCCCATACATTCTTCCTTTTTGGATCCATATCACAAATTATCCTTGATTTTTTTTTTCATTGCAGTATCTTTCTCTCTCTCTCTCTCTCTCTCTCTCTCTCTCTCTCTTCTTTCCTTTCTTTCTCCATCCCCCAGCCTTTCCCTCTCTCTATCTCACTCTTTCTTCATTCTTCCTCCAGTCTCTCTCTCTAGTTCCTCTCTCACGCCACCTGCCTATGTTTTTCTCATGTTCTATCACTCCCACCGCCCCTCCCCCCGCCAGTCGCATATATATCCTCAATTTGAAAGCTTAAATATTTTTCCTGTACATGTCTAGCTGAGCTTCCAGTCTCTCTCTCTCTCACTCTCTCTCTCTCTCTCCCTCCCTCCCTCCCTCACCCTCTTTACCTCTCTCTCTCTCTCTCTCTCTCAGACCCATCCTTTCTCATTCCCTCCCTCTCTACCTCACTCTCCATCTTACCCCGCCCTTTGACTCTCCCTCTCTCCCCCTGTACTTGCTTTTGTCTCGCTCTCTCTGCCTTTCTCTCTTTCCCATGCTCTATCACTCACCCCTGCCAGCTGCATATCCTCAATCTGTGAGCTCAAGTAGCCAATCTCCCTCCTGTACTGGTCGAGCTGGGCCTCCAGTTTCTCTCTCTTCAGTCGCTCATAATCCAGCTGGGCTTCCAACTCCTGGATTGTGCTGAAGACACATGAGGGGGTGAGATGTAAAACCCGCAAATCAACATTTTGGAAAAAAAATCAAGATTTTCTGCTTATAAATGTACAGTGTTACCGGCTATCAAATGTACAAAGCGTCTTCGGCCAAAACCCAACGCATACTTAATAAAAGCCAACAACAAAATATTCTTTTTACACATGTTTGTGCGTATAGCAGCATTATGAAAGATGATTTTCTCAAAAGAGCTAAAATAGATGTAGTAGGTATTGCATCTCAGCCCCTCACATAAGAGATTAAAGGAGATAACTTTTTTTTTGGTCATGTCCTGATTTTGGAGCCGATATTCGTAGACAGCGTAAAAATGTGCCAAAATGGTGCAGATACAGGGGGGATATAACATTATGCTTAGTTCCCATCAACTGGAAAATCACTCTTTTTAATACTGTAAAATGTATAACAGCATATTAATTATTTTTTTCACTTTCAATTGGTTTGATACTAATATTAAAACCAGTATTGTTATCAGTATAATTATCACTGTTTTAAATAATAACGTTATTATACTGTTGTCATCCTTTTCATTACTTTTAATATTATGATGATGATGATGATGATGATGATGATGATGATGATGATGATGATGATGATGATGATCATAGTATTGTTAAATTTTTACTTGTTCACCATTTTCCATCTAAAACTTTTCCCTTTGTGGCATTAGTAATCTCTACTGGTGAGATCATGGGTTGGGGGGGGGGGGAGTTGAGGCTTAGTTTAGCTTACATACGTGTTATATAAATGCAATTATAAATACTGTTATCATTCAGAAACTTTATTATTCAAATCAGTTCTCTTCTACTAAAAATCTGTAAAAAAGAAGGCATTCACAGAACTTACTGGTCTTTGTCTCTCATCTCCCTAAGCCTGCGTCGGTCTTCCTCCAAAGAGCCGCCCAACTGGACGTAGTTTTTCTTCGCCACATCCAGAAGTCGCTCTAACTCGTCCATCTTGATCTTTGCACGGCCTGTAAAATGTAGAAAAATACAATACTTTGGTCACTTAAAACAACACCAGACCGTAGTGAACGAAGTGCTTGAGGGAATTTGGGTGGGGCAGGGGTAGACAAAGAGTTACATGGATGGATGACATTAAATTATGGACTGGCTTGGATACGGCAGAATGTGCAATGGCAGCTTGTGACCATGAAGGATGGAGGCCACTAAACATCAAACTCTGCAGAGTCAGATATGACACCTCCAGTTATTCTAGGACTGCAATATGCCCAAAAACTGAGTACCACCTGATTCCACCGCATCGTGACCCATATGTATTTCAAAGCTCATACCTTTTTCTTTCATTTTCTCCAATGACTCTTTTATTCAAGCGTACACTTTGTTTGCTTATTTGCTAAATCCTGTTCCTGGCGTTTACCAAATCCTAGTCTTTATCCACCGAGGTAATTCCTTCTCCAATCATTTTTAAATCCTAGCCTTTGTTCGCCAATTCCTGCTTCAATAATTCATGAAATATTGGTCTTTAACTGTTTATTCCAGAACTTCCCCCAATGTGTCCTTTGTGTGACTATGCATATGAGACTGTAGATTATCACCTTTTCCATTGCACAGCCCTAAATGACATCAGAGCAACACTTCTCCCTCCAAGACCTAACATTGACAACATACTCTAAGGAATATTACAGCAACTGCAGCAAACCTGCACTTATCGCTACATGGCAGTGAACAACAACAACAACATTTGTAATGTCCTGCTCTTGTCATCTGCTAAATACTATTCTTCATTTGACAACTCCTCCTCTTCATTTGCTAATTATCTATGACTTATTTGTCATTCTGTTTGTAAAATTCCGTGCCCCATCCAGATCGTGACCCTTTCTTTAAATAGAAAAACGATGCTCAAGTGTCCTTTCTCTCCTACCTTTAGCATTGTCTTTGGATTTCTTTGCCTTTCTTCTCCTCCTCCTCACTCCATCTCCATCTTCGTCGTCATCATCCTCCTCTTCACTCTCATCAGAGCCATCTACTGGCTCTTCTGCCTCTTCTGTAAAAGAAACAACAACAATAATATCTATATGCATAACGACAACAACAGCAGCACATACAACAGAACGTATAACAACAACATCAACAACAATACCAACAACAACAACAACATACGCTTAGATAAAAGTAAGAATCTTTATAGAATGTTATATTTACGATATATAGAGATAAATGCCCTGAATTTGTCAAGATCATGTGTTTTAAAGTTTTACAGACCCTCTTAGAATAATTGAAGAGAAAAAAACAATTATTTATCACAATGGAGGTAATAGGATACACAATAAGAGAAGACGCAGATAAGAATTTTTAAAAAGCATGAAAGGAGATGGTACAACCTGTGATGATTAGACTGAGAGAGAAAAGAAAAGAACAACCGTCGGTCAAGCATCATATTGTTTCAACCACACCCCCGCCCCACCCACTCATCCACCCACCTGGTGCCCCTCCTCCTAGAAGTTTCACACTGGCAAGTTGTGCAAACCTGCGCGCCACGTCGCGCGGCGTCTCGCCGGCCTGGTTGGTGATGTTCATGTTGGCGCCCATCTCAATGAGCCACTGTAGGACCCTGATGTGGCCCTGGCCAGCCGCTGTAGAGGTGGAGCATAAAACATATGTGAGGCAGTGTGGTGAAATCGGGCGCTCGTCAAAATATTGAAAGTAAAGAAACTGGCACTTTTTCGCAGGTTTGGCAATTTTTATTGAAATTTAGTTTTTTGGTTTAACATCTTTTATGTCTATTCAAGAAGTCTTTTCAGTGTGAATTATATTCAAGAACGTTGATTAAAGGCACAAAAAATGTAAATTGTCACTTTCCACGAACTCTGAGGCTTTGTAAATAACCAAACTTTGGCGGTCATTTTCTCACTAATTTTACCTCTGAAACCAGGCAAACCCCATCTCATTCCATTGCATATATTTTGACATGTACTCAAGATAAACAGGTAATTCTTCCTTTGAAAGCAAGATAAATGAACAAGCTTTAAGGCAATACCAATAACTCCACATGCCCAAAAATTGACGAGCGCCTGATTCCACTGTGTTGTGACACATATAGTACATTGTTATGTGACAAGATGATCATTTCAAAAACATAATAAAATAAAATTGAATAATAAAAAATTTTGAATGTAGGCCTATTTGTAAAATGCAATAGAATAAAATGGAACAAAATAAAGTAAAACAACATTAAATAAAATTGAAGAAATAATAAAACACAATAAAATAAAATAACATTTGATTCATCCTGTCTTGAGATCTATTAATGGCATGTACAGAGTCCTTCTAACATAATTTTTTTTTTTTTAATGCAAACATAGATACAGCATACCGTAATGAGAAACAATAAACGTTTTTTTTAAAAAGTAATGTTTTGTGCATTTTGTTTGCAAAACTGTGGTTTTCAAATCAAACAAATGCCATAATGCAGACAAAGGAGATAATATAAAACAATTAGTTGAGTTGCTTCCCACACCACTGATTACCAGAAAAGAAATGTTAAGACTTTAAAATGATGCTTCTATCTTCAACAGTATATTTTACAATATAACTAGGTGTGCTCCTACAACTGTTCAAATATGCAAATTTCCTGCAAATAAAGCTTCAAGTGTATTCAAGTCCTTTTCAAAGCATGACATAGTTATAAACAACTCCTTCTTCCTAACTTAAGCAAGAGAAGATGAAAAGTAGGCACACAATCACTCCCTAATAAAAGTATCCTCCTTTATCAATGTGTACCAATGCGGATGTTGCCAACAGCACTAATGCAAATATTTCATTCTATTTCTCAAATAGCCATTTAATATTAGTAAAGCATCCTAATTCCATTCATTTTTCTCTATAAGTGTCACTAACAGCATTGTTAAAGAAATTCTGTTTAGTATTTTAAATAGAAGAGTGACAGATAAATCTCACAAAATAATCTTCGACAATGCGCAGCAAAACAAAGTCATGTTTTATTATCAAACCGCTTTTTTCCTTTCCTCATAATGTAGGAACAGAGCTGAAGGGCATATGCTCAACAGCTGCTAGTTTGAGCAAAAACTGAATAACAAGTGACCTTTGTGTGCCAGGGTTGACCCCTTATCGTCTCGCTCATTGATGTTAACGACCCCATTCTCCACCAGCATGCGCAAGTGGTCAAGGTCTCCAGTGTAGGCCGCTACGTGAGCCGGGAAGGAAAGATCTGAGGAGGAGAAAAATGTTGTTCATATATGAGAGAGAGAGAGAGAGAGAGAGAGAGAGAGAGAGAGAGAGAGAGAGAGAGAGAGAGAGAGAGAGAGAGAGATCAAGAGACAGACAGACAGAGCGAGGAGGAGTGGGGAGTAGAGCCCAAGCTGCCCCCAATAAGGGCAGTGTGGTAAGCATCCACCAGTGAGCAACCTCGCACTACTCAACACTCAGCACCTCCGTCCAACAACCGACTCACTCAGAACGAGCCAACAAC